CTTCCCTTTTTCCTAGGGACCACCTTGTTACAATTATAGAAATGTTTGAAAATCCACTCATTTATTCATTATGGGGAATCTGTTACGGCGAAGATGTTAGCCAGATGTTAGCCAGTTTAGTGAAAATATTGATGATTCATGTATTTCTACTCATATAAAAGAATTTTAGACTCTTTTCATTCCAACAGTTTATATAAACTTAAATAAAACCTAATGCACTAGATTTATATTACCTTCCAGAAATGTTTTCACTGATTTTGGAAGTGACTTCACTATCTTTATGATGTCCATAATTATTTTCTTGTAAAACAAGAAAATCTTGTTTATTATATGTGCTGCCAAAGCAAACACAAGAAAATCTTATTAATAAATTTATTTAAAAGAACATTAATTCAATACAGAGTTAACATACACCTTTGTTAATTACAATATGTACTAATGCTGCTATTTTAGCATCTAGGTTTAATGTAGCCATACTACATTAAACTACATTACCTTGACAATGTAGCAGAGATCTTACTTTTCTCAGATCCAAGATAAGATTTCTTTCACTATAATGTCTTTTTTTATATCCAAAAGGGCAGGTTTATTATTCAAAAGGGAGAGAAGAATAAAGGGCATTTGCATAGATAGAAGCAGGCAGAAAGAACTGTCCAAAAGACATAAGTTTACTGAAAGAGAGGCCTGTGAAGTCACAGGCGGGCAGCCTTGGAGGGAGAGCTGCCTCTGTCCCTTTGCAAAGGGGGGTCAGTGGAGTGAAGCACCTGTAGTAGTCACAGGTGGTCAGGAGAGCAGCTGCCACTATCATGTCTGAAACTTTTCCTCCTCATTTTGAGTGCTCCTTATCACTGCTGTAACAAATTATAAACTTGGTGCCTTAAGACAACATAAATTTATTGTCTTTCAAAATATTTCCTCTCTTTTGCTACAAATGGGGCAATTCAATCTAAAGCTTTATTTTGGATAATTTTCTATACATAAATTTATAAATTGTTCAAGAAGTCATGCCAAGATCCAATTCATTAAGACTTCTGAGTGATAAAACATCTGATGCAAGACTTTCTTCAAGTTCTTTTTTCTTAATGATTATATTTTATAAAACCATAACCAAACTGATAGCTCAGCAATGTAATTATAATAATTAGCTTCACTCGGTGCTTGAAAAGTTCCAAGTAGTGTGACAATTCTATGAATCTGGTATTATCAGTAATAATATAACCTTTTATATCACTATAGTAACTTTAATGCTTTCTCTTGGGAGTTCCCACAACTATAAAATCAGAAGGGCTCAAAAAATCAACAGTTGTTTATATGTTTAAGGCAAACTAATTTAGGAGTATTACCTGACCTGAACTGGTAAGTTTCTTACAATCTGTGTGTGTATTTATTTACTTTAAAATTAAAAAAAAAAGATTTATTTATTGATGCATACAGAATTGGGGTACAAGCCAGAGGTGCAGGAGAAGTGAGAGGACTCACCAGAGACAGTGGGGAGCAGAATAGGCAGATCAACTAAGTGCACTGTTGAAGGGAGCAGTTGGCAGGTCAGGAGAGGTCTGTGGTGCCATGTGGGTCAGCTCCAGGGCCAGGAATTGATCACACACTGAGGTGGCTGCTGCTGGCTTACAGTGCAGTGTCCTAACCCATTGTGCCACCAGGGAGGGCCCTTGGTGGTTTTTGCTTTGTTTTGATTATAAAGTATTGCCCAAAATTGCACTAATTACTCAACAGTACCCAATATTTATTTCAAATTATTTCTTACAAATCTGAAAATGTCTTAGTTCCAACATCACTAGCGACATGGTGTTTTAGCTAAATTGTAGACATCCATTTAGACTTTCCCCCCCACCTCCATCTCTAATGTCCCTTTGTCTTGTTCTTCCTCCCTGACTCCCTCTACCTTAGAGCCCTTACTAGTTTGTCTACTAGCTTTATTAGTATTTTCCTTTGTCAAGTCAACCATGATGTAAGTTTCCAGTATTTGTCTTTGTCATTCTGACTTGTTTTACTACAAATTATTTCCTTAAACTTGTTCCATTTTGTTGTAAATGGCTTCATTTCCTCTCTCCTAATGACTGAATAGTATTCCATGGTGTGGATATGCCATATCTCAATCCAGTCCTTTAGTGATGGGCATTTAGGCTACTTTCATGCCCTAGCTACTGTAAATGATGCTGCAGTAAACACTATAAAACATAGTTTTTTGCATTGATGTTTTTCCTATTCTTTGGGTAGAATAGGAAATTTTATTGTTGCAGTCTTCTTATATCCAAATCTTTAATCCATTTGAAATTTTTTGTGTGCATATGGAATTAAAGAGTGACTTCATTCTTTCATGTTGGCCTTCCATTTTTTCCAGCATCATTTATTAGAAATTCTCCAGGGCCCTCCCTGGTGGCACAGCGGGTTGAAGTGCAGCACTATGAAGCTAGCTGCAGCTGCTTCAGCAGGAGTTAGATCCCTGGGCAGGGGAGGCAGACCTCTCCTGTCTCACCCAATGCTCCCCTCAGCAACGTAGTCAGTCCACTTGTACTCCCCACTCTGTTTCTGGTGAATCCTTTTACTGCCCCTGCACCTCTGGCCTGTACCCCAGTTCTGGATACAAAAATAAATCTTAAAAAAAAAAAAATTCTTCCCAATAAAGTTAGTCCTTGAGGTCAGATGCCAAGATTAAAATTTATGAGGGTAATGTCAGGTTGTTGGTAGGGTTGCAGTATTTCTGGGTGACTCCAGGGAAGAATACATTTTCTTGTCTTTTCCATTACTTGTAGGCTTTTTGCATTTCTTGGCTTAAAGCCCTTTCCTACAAATTCAAAGTCAGCAGCTTGGTATCTTCAAATCTCTCAACTTCTGTCATAATGTTTTCTCTGACTTTTACAACCTGCCTTCTCCTCAAGAAAAATCTCTTCTACTTTGGTTGACCCCAGCCACAAAGTCCAGGATAATCTTCATGTATAAAGAATCACATCTTTATATATTTTGGTGTTAATAAAAATGTGTAGACACTGGTGATTGTTGTGAGTATACTAGAAACTATCTAATTGTACTCTTTGAATGGGTAACATTTTTTGCCACTATGATGACGTACCTGATGGGGGAATTTGAATGTCACATAATTAAATAATATAAAAAGTGGGGACGTGTAAATTTCTATGTGCAGTATATGGCAGCCTAAAATAGGGTGAAAAATGGAGACTGCAATTACCTTAACACACAGTTAAAAAAAAATTTATGCAGATACTGCTGAGTGGAACAGTGGGGGAGGCAGGAGAGGTCTGGCCGCCATGTGGGTCATCTCCCTGGCAGGTAACTCGCGGTGAAGCAGCTGCGGCTAGTTGCGGCTAGCTTTGCAGTGTCACGCTTAAACCCATTGTGCCTCCTCTGTAAAAGGTGCCAGCACTCTGGTAGTTACAAACTGCCTCACTGCTTTCACATTTCAGCCATAACATTTCACATTGATATTTCAGTGAGAACCATACCATAGACCTTTTTAGCATCTTGGAGAATAAAACCGGTTCGTGAATATCTGATTGTGGGTATACACACAGACATGTCCATCTAGCTGCTCGATGCCGCCTGCGGCTAATCGGAGCCGAGTCCGGCGAGGGACGATGAGGTTAAAGAAGACACAGGACACCAAGGTTCTTCAGCAGTCTCTCGTTTATTGCCAGCGACCCCTTTATATACCATTAAGCAGTAGGAGTGGAAAATTAAGGCGGGAAAGGAGGAAGTGGGGAATTTCTCTTGCCACACCGCCTGCAGCTGCCAGATGCCGATACTCCCTTAGAAGGGAGTGTGCTAAGGCAGAGAAAGGTCAGGTAGTCCCTGTGGCGTCTTAGGCAGATAAACACAAGTCTGTGTCATGGCTTTATCAGCCCGACCACCTGGCCGCCTTGACACGCACAACAGGGGGCACATCCCCCGGAGCCCCGGGGGTAGTGTGCTAACTCGGCACCAACAGCTCGAAGTGCTTTTACTGTTAATTTCTGAGAAAATGTCAAGGCAAAAACCGATCACCCCCGAAACGGCACAACTTTATCCAAAATGGCCGCTAATTTCTCGGGCATAAACGGTGGGGCGGCCCCAGGAAATGACGTCACGCTCGAGTTCCGGCTCCGCCAGTTCCGGAGCAGACTTTCCGCGCAATCGCGATCTGCACGTGTGTTAACCTGGTTCGCGTAGCTACCGCGATGGACGCTTTGGATCGAGTTGTGTAAGTGCGCCGGGTCTCTGCAGTCGGGAACACTGAGGAGAGAGAGGCTTGTGTCAGGAAGGAGTGATGAAAAGATCTTCTACCTCACGCTCTTCCCCTCACGCTCTTCCCCTCACGCTTTGTGCGTCGGCCCAGCTGGGGCGGATCCGGTCTGGGACTCCCTGTAGTACCGGGGCTGGAAGATGGGGTGGGGAACCCCATGAGTGGGGGCCGCGGGGTGGAGATGGAACGGAGATCGTGACCGCTTGTTCTGAACAAGTCCTGGCCCTGAAGAAGAGTGGGCGGCTACTTGCGCTCACTCAAAAGAGTGAGGGGTTACTTGCGCAAGCCTCGGAACCTGACAGATCTAGGTGACTATAGGGAGCTTCCACATTATGCCTGAGTTTGCTTTGTAAAAGAGCCTTCTTAAAAGTGGTTCTTCACAAACTGAGGATTATTTGCGAAAATTTATGTTACATAGAAATGCTCTTTAATTAGCTTTTTTTTCCACCCAGCCTTGGTACACACCTCTGAGTTACACTTGAGCGATGTCCGTTTTACATTCATTCAAAGAGTATTTGTTATCCTCCTAAGTTTCTGCTATGAACCATTTGCAGTGGTTTTTTTTTCCTATTTACCTGGATTAATATGTAATCAGCACATTCTTCATTTAGTCATTAACTCTGAGATTTTTGTGCATCTGCTATGTATATGTGTGTGTGTGTGTGTGTGTGTGTATGTATATTCTAGGTTTGTGATCTGCAAAGATGACTAGTTTATATAGTTTGACTGGGGGACAAACTGCTAATAAAACGTAAATAGTGCTAGTTGCATTTGTTGCTAGTTATTGAAAGGTAACAACCCACATGGAATAAAGAGCATATACCACTTTCATTGTTACATAGAAACACTAAATCTCTGTTGGTTTGATTTAATAAATAATGTGTGTACCAACTAGTAAATGATTAGCAGTTTTAAATTTAAATATGCTTGACAGATTATCCGAAGGAAAATTGACGTGACTTTCGTGTTAGGACCCATTTTGACTGCTTTTAGATTGAGGGAAAAAATGGACTAAAAATAACAACAGTGGCTCTCCCTGGTGGCTAAAAATAACAGTGGCTCTCCCTGAAGGCTCAGCGGGTTAAAGCACAGGACTAAGGCGCTAAAGCCATTTCTGCATGAGTTCAATACCCGCCTGCCCCTGAGGTGATCCACCTGGCACAGAAGACCTCTCCTGACCCAGAAGACCTCTCCTGACCCGCCCGCTGCTTCCCTCAGTCAGCCTGTTCTGCTGCCCACTCTGTACCTGGTGAATTCTCTCACCGCCCCTGCACCTCTGGTCTGTTCCCCAGTTCTGTATGCATAAATAAATTAAATCTTAAAAAAAAAAAAGTTAGCAACAGCATTTTTTTTAAAATAAGGGTTTAGGAAAAAAGCAGTAATAAGAGAATTTGGGGAATATAAAAATGAAAAACTTTAAATAACCCAGAAGCTAATAAAATTGACACTTTATAGCGATGACTAAATATCTTTTATTACAATCTCCCTGAAAAGAGAGTTGACTAGTGGTGAATCCTAACTGATAAATATTTGAAATATCTGTTACTCTTTTACGTTTTTGCACTTTAGTCAAAATATGATTTTGTAATATGAAGGAAATGTTTTAAGTTATGAATTGTGATTTTTCTAAACAGAAAACCCAAAACCAAAAGAGCAAAGAGATTTCTTGAGAAGAGAGAACCGAAGCTCAGTGAAAATATTAAAAATGCCATGTTGATTAAAGGAGGAAATGCAAATTTAACAGTAACCCAAGTACTTAGAGATGTGGTATGTATATCTACTTGCTTTTTAAATGGTATTGAAATCACTTTTTAAAACCTTTTTGAGTGGTATTGAAATTACTTTAGTACGTTTTCACATTGTGGTTTGGGCTGGTGGAGAAATCCGTAGATAATATTTGTCTTGCTTACCTTTGGTACGTGCTACTGACTATTGGTTTTCTTTAAAGCAGTAAGTTCTCTGAGTAAATTTCAACTAATTTCAGTTATTAAAATTTGGTCACATAAGACAGTCTTTTCCTTCAGTGAATTTAGAGACAATTATAATGCTGTGTTTGGAGGCATAAAAGAATAGGATGGAATACGAACAGAGAGAAGAGGTTTCCAAGGTTGAGAAACAAGCTTGTACAAAAGGATGTCTGAGGGAGTATGATACACTTGGGAAACTACAAATAGTTGGGGATAACTAAAGGACAGAGTGTTAGAGGAAACTGAAAGAATAAGAATGTATCAGATAATAACATGGAGTTGGAGCTTTATTCTGAAAACCCAATGGAACCTTTGAAGCTTTTAAGTGATGATATGATTGTTTTTTAAATCAGCTTGGCTAGAGAAAGTTGTGAGAAAATCTCAGTCACATAAAGTATACCTGGAGCTTGGTCAGAGTAATGAAAATGGGAGATTAGCCGAGAAAATAGATATTGAGGGTAGAAGGATTTTGGTATGGAGATAGAAGTATAATTTACCAAGTTTTTGGCTTGGGTCCCTAGTAAGTGCTAATGCCAGTTGGAGAATATTAGGTAGAACAGGTTTGGAGGGAAAAGTGATATGTGTTCAGTTGAGCACGTATAATTTAAGTGATGAAGATAAAAACTTTTTACCCCTAACATCTGGAGCTTAGTGGCTAGACCAGTGCCTGGCACATAGTAAGTGCTCAGTAAATGTTTAATCAGTGAATGAAAGACATAGTATGTGGAAATATCTGTAGGTATTAGAATATTTAGGTTGTAAGTACAGCAGAGTGGTTTGTTAAATCAATAATTGCATCAATTTTTAAGCCTGTCTAAAGTCCATATGCCTGTTGCACATAACAGTTAACATCCTTGTTTGAAAGTGAAATATGCTCATCCTTTTTGATAGACTTATCTGAATGTCATTGTGATAATAGGGCACTGCCCTGTTCTGCCAGTATGTTGTCACACAGTGACCAATGTATATAAGTAAGCTTACTTAAATGTTACATTATTAAGTAAGCTTAATGATATTACAGATTATTGTAAAGTTAAGACTTATATTGATGACTGAGTTACCAAGAAAAGGTAGTAATGTGTGTCATACCAAGACAGGGAAACATTTGACCAAGAATCATCATGAGTATGCTTAAGTTTTATTACTTAAAATGAAGATTTTTTTTTAAAAGATTTATTTATGTATATATACAGAGCTGGGGTACAGGCCAGAGGGGCAGGGATGGTGAGAGGCTTCACCAGACACAGAGCAGGGAGCAGAACAGGCAGATCAACGAAGAACACTGCTGAGGGGAGCAGCGGGAGGGTCAGGAGAAGTCTGCCACGCCATGTGGTCACCTCTGGGGCAGGCGGGGATCGAACCCTTGCGGAAGCGGCTTTAGCTTCCTAGTGCTGTGTCTCAACCCGCTGCGCCACCAGGGAGGGCCTAAAATGAAGATTTTAATGGTAACTTTAATTTGTTCATCAACTGATAGTTGAGGAATGGTCACTTCAGCTTTTTGTTCATTGTTGCCCTTTCTCTAAAGGAAGTTAATGCCTCAGATCTTTGTTATTCCCTTTCATAGAGGAGTACTGATCATCTACATATTGATTATTAGTTGACAAGTTGAAGTAGGGAAAACATGAAAAGAAGGTTGGATAACACTTTTTTTTTTTTAAAAAAAGACTTATTTACTTATGCGTGCAGAACTGGGATACAGACCAGAGGTGTGGGGGACGAGAGGATTCACCAGAGACAAGAGTGGGGAGCAGAACAGGTAGATCCACTGAAAGAATACTGCTGAGGGAAGCAGTGGGCAAGCCAGGAGAGGTCTGCTGGGCGGTGTGGGTCAGTCAGCTCCTTGGCCAGGGATGGAACTGTTGCTGAGTGACTTCCGAGAGCTTCATAGTGCTATATGCTTTAACCTGTTGCACCACCAGGGAGCGCCCTAACAGGCATTTTTAAAGGGCTGTATTTATTTAAAAGCTGGCTGATATTCTGATTGTCATCATTATGGCACAAGTTTTTTTTAAATCTCTAGACAATATTATTTAATTCACCAGTCTCTCCTGATAGTATTTCATCTTTCTTTTTTTCCTGCTCTTCTGTCTACTCTCAGGTTGTTTCTGTGGAAAGAACTGAATAGGTTAAGTTCAGAGGAATGAAGGAAGTCATTTAAGCTGGATCTACTATTGAAGAGCACAGAAATCTTTAATTAGCAATGTCTAGTCTGAGTTGGAATATTACGCTTATGTGGAATATTGTGGGAGGTGGTCAAAAGGAATCCAAGAAGAATATATCATATTAAGACCCAGGGACCCGAGTAACCTTTTATAACTACTGTTATAATTGATAATTGTTTTTCAGAAGTTGTTTTGACTATAAATTATGTTTTACAGTATGCACTGAAAAAACCATATGGTGTTCTATATAAAAAGTAAGTCATGATCTCTTTTACTTTATATTGTTGGCATTGTAAAGTAACAAACAACTGCTTCATATTTTAAAAATAAAAATATTTTTTAAAAAAACACTGTAGTTTCTTATATATAGCTGACAGTAGTTTTTAATGGATTTCTTTCCAGTCATTTCTACTTTTGTGTTGAGTAGTCTTTCATATTTTAAATCACGTGATTTTATCATTTTGAAATAATTAGACTTACAGAAAAGTTGCAAGAATTCTAGCATTCTCATGTACCCTTCCCTCAATTTCTTTTAATGTTACTTCTAAAAATACTACAGTTATCAAAAGTAAGAAATTAATATTGGTGCAATGTTAACCAAATAACAGGCTTGATTTAGTTTCAAATTTGCACTCTAATATTCTTTTTCTCTTATAGGATACTACAATGCATTTAGTTATCATGTCTGCTTTCCTCCAATTTATTACAGTTCTCAAATCTTTCATTGACACTTTTGAAAAATACTTGTCAGTTATTTTGTAAAATAATCCTCAATTTGGATTTGTATTAATCCTTAGGGGACACCTGTGTTTTATACATTAACTAGTTGGTTGAAATGAAGTCTGCTGGGTTTCTTTATGATGAAGCTCCTGTTTGTCCTTTTGTAATTAATAAATATTCAGAGGAGATAAAGACTGTAAAAATCTTTCTCCTCAAATTTTTGCTTATTAATTTTAGCATCCCTTGATGGCTCTTGTCTATTATAGTGATTACTATGGTATTCAAATGGTAGTTTTCTTTTTCCCTTCATTCTTTATGCATTTATTATTAAAATTCTGTAAGGAAAATTATGTGTTTTTCTATTTATTTAATGGCTTATATCATTATGGGCTTATTGTTAATATTTCTTTTTGGGTAGTAATCAAATACTATCATTTAGTTTGTTGTATAATTCTTTTACCTTTGGCCATTAGGAGGACTATTTCACTTTGGCCCCTTTGCCCTCTCAATGTGTCCCTTTCTGGTACTACAGATTGTTCCATCTTTTTCCTTTCCATGCCCCTGGAGTCAACCACTTCTAAGCAGAACCCTGTTTCCATATACTAGAAATTGGTAGTTTAGAAACAAAAATCGAGGCCCTACGTGTGCTCAGTTGCTGCAGTGGCTGTGGTAACTTCATACTGCTGTGCTTTAACCTCTTAAGCCACCAGGGAGGGCCTGAAAACAATACTTGGTTTAACCTGGATTTTCTGTTTTGGACAGGTCATATTTGCTTAATTGCAAATAACTATTAGCTGTTAATCACAAATACTCTTATAACTTTCCTGGTTCATTTGTCTATTATTATTACTTTTTTAACTAATTATAAAAATAAAATATCTTAGGTCATAGGAGATAATGTTCAAAGGAGTAAATAATAACCCAAAGATAGGTACTATGTACTGTTTAACATATTTTCTCCAGTATGTTTTATATATCTATGTATCTGTTTTATAAGTTAAACAAAATTGAGATCATGCACATATGGTTTTCTTTTTAAACTTATAAAAATATGAACTATTCCACACATACTTTGCATGATTAAGGTTAAGTAGTAAAACAGTAAAATTATATTGTAAAAATAAAGGCACATGCTCTTTCCAGAACATCTACTATCATTAGTTTTTTACATAACAGAAGTTCTTTATGCATATTAAGTAAATATGTATTATTAGTGTTCTTGTTTGTATGAAATAGTGTGTTTTATATTTCTCTACTCAGTATTTTTCCACTACTACTATTACTGGTCTAGGTCACCATTTGTTTCTTTCTGTGCTGGATTACTATAATAGCTCCTTACTTTCACTCTTGCTGCATTGCTGTGGTTCTCATGTGGCAGAAAGAGTAACCCTTTAAACAGAACAATTGAGTCCAGTCATATCACTTTCCTGCTTAAAACCTGACAGTGCTTCATGTTACTGTTTTAAAATCTATATGCCTCACGTTGATAAGCCAGACCCTGGCAGTCTGAACCATATCTACATCTCTGTTATCATACCTCCATTCTTTTGTTCCCCAAACTCCATGAAACTTACTTTGTTTCAGATTCCTTAATGACCTAGGCTTTTCTCAGATCTATTCCTTCTTCCTTCCTGTCAAAATTTTCCCTTGGCTACCTCCTTATTAATAAGGCTTCAGCTCAAATTGTCATGTTTCATTCTTTGTAGTAACATAATGCTCTTTTTTCCCCCCTACTAGAATGTAAGCTTCATAAAAACAAGGATTTTGTTTAACATGTTCTGACTCCTATAATAAGCCTGGCAGCAGTTGAGCATAAAATAAAAGCTTGAATGAGTGAATATTCTTTTGGTATTTTCAGATCATCTGAATATAAAATTATCCTTACTTAATATATTACTTAGTGGTTTTGGATGAGTTACCTATTAAGATGATTACAATTTGTCTTTTTCTAAAATCTTAGAAAAAATATCACAAGACCATTTGAAGATCAGACCTCATTGGTGAGTACAAAAATAGTTTCGATATAACAGTTTTGATTATTCAGACTGATTTATGATGTTTTAAAATTAGAAATCATTCTGATCATTCATTTGATGTAAAATGAAGGGATTTATGACTTCTTTTGAGAATCACTTAAAATTTTTTAAATTAGTACAGTTAAAATGCCAAGTATTTTTATGTACATCATTTCATTTAATCTTAACAGAGTTTATGCCTTTTGGGTACTAAAATTTCATTTCAAGCAAAGTCATTTAAAAGCAATTTTATACATGTGTATATAATATATTCACAAACACATACTAACTCCATGAGGTTTTTTTTTTGTACTTCCAAATGTGTTATCTTTATATTGGCATAACATTGTGCTATAACATTATATGTTTAAGGTGGGCATCTTTGAACATCAATACATACATACTACATTAAGTTGACCACTGAATGTCCAATTCTTTCCTTCACCATACAGCTGTCCCCTTTTGTCAGACTTATCCACCCTTCCCCTCTAGATCTTTTCTTTTGTATTTTTCAAAGAATGACTATTTTATATTTCACTATGATCAGTGTGTATTATTCACTGTTTGGAAGTGGAATCTAAAATAGAATTATATTTTAAGTGCATAAGTTAGCAAAAGAAAGTTTGCTTGGGATTTACTTTTATAAAGTAGATTTTACTTTAAAATATGACTTTTCTTTGGGTATTTTTAAAAATAGGGAACATTACCTAAATTATTGCTAACAATTGTCAGTTTCTTTACTAAAACGAGTCAAATTTCTGTTTGAATGTCTTGGCAACCAAAACTAAATGCAAAATGCTAGTGAAGGAAATCAGAAGGTTAAAAGGTGATACAGTAAGTAGTGAATGATGAAGCGGACTTTTGTGTGCTTGGCATGTTTCTTTTTTTTTTAATTGAGGTGACATTAGCATACATCTTTGTTTGTAGCTTAGAAGTGTAGGAGCCCCCCTCCCCTTCAGGTATTGCCAGAATGCACCCACTACCGAAACACCAATGGTCTACCAATATAGTGCACTGTGCTCCCTTCCAATTTTGTTCTCATCCCCTTCCACAGCTCCATACTGGTTTATTTCTAATTATACCCTTTAGGGTATAAAGGGTTTAAACTATTTAAATTGACTTAAAAAATTGGAATGTGATTATGTTCTCTTGATAGAACACCATTGTTATTTCTGTTAGTTTGGAATTTAAAAGAAGGAACTTTTTTTTAAGATTTTATTTTTATTTATGCATATAGAACTGGGGAGGGGAGGTAAGAGGATTTACCAGAGACAGTGAAGCAGAACGGGCAGATCTACTGAAATACACTGCTGAGGGGAGCAGCGGGGAAGATAGGAGAGGTCTGATGTGCCATGTGTGTCAGCTCCCTGGCCAGGGGTTGAACTTGTGCTGCAGTGGCTGCTGGTAGCTTCATGTGCTGAGATTTAACCCCCTGAGCTACCAGGGAGGCCCCCAGTGCTCAGGTTTTCAAAATTACTTTCACTGTAGTATTGAATGTTTTAGTCATGTGCTGACTAGATCATTAAAGTAGAACTGACTATAGGGTTTAGCCCAGAATTCTCTCTTGCAAAACCTGTACCAAGGATTGGTTTTGTTTTGTGGCACCACGGTTGTATGACCATTTTGTAGCAGTGTTAGGTTGTAAATTAGGACCATTCTATGGTTTATTTCAATTTAGTGTTGATGTGATAGCTTATCGTACACTTCAAATTGTGACATTTCCTGTCTTTGATCTCCCATCTCTTGAGATAGGAGATATTTTATTGCTATAATAAATCTTAGAAGTTTAGAGCTCACTATGGGAATAGTGGAAATATAGTTGGATTCTCCCTCCTGACCTTCACCCACCATCATACATTTTCACACTCTAATTTCGGATCAATGTTTCGGAGCAAGACAAATACATTTTAAAAGAGGCTTTATAAAAATTTAAAATATTTACATCGCGCATTTGTAGGTAATTTCACTGCTTTTACTCTAGAATTTTAATAGATAACAAGCAGACTTTATGGAAAATAAAATCCGATACTATTGTTGTATATATAAAGAGTATTTTATGGGAAGCCTTAGGATAAGTCATAACATGAACATCTGTTCTTAAAAACACTTAGGAAAGCATTTTTATTAAATTGGACATTTAAAAAGCCGGTGTCCCAAAGTGTATGGTGCTTTGCCATATGACATCTTGAGTAGTCCTTATAGATTCTTGCAGGTGTTATTGTCCGTGATTTACACATGATAAAACTAATTCTCAGAAAGGTTAATAATGCCAGTTCCCATAGTAAATATCAGAGACTTTTGGACTTTGTGTCATTTACTTAGGAATCAGCAAGTAGGTAGTTGTTTGCCCCATTTGCTTCTGCTTAGACACTGGAGTGTATGATAACAAAACTAGAGACCTATGGGAAGTCTTCTGACCAATAAAGAAAAGTTGAGGTTTCAGTAAACTGAATCATACTACTGGGATGATGAAGGATAGGCATTAGTGTATAACAAGCTTTCTAGATTTGAAACCCCATATATGTGTTTCCACTCTTAGATCTGATGGAAGTCAATGCTTTGGGAAGCCAGTAAGAGAAGATTTCGTAGACCTGTAATTCTTCTCTTGCTCGTCATACAAACATGGAACTAGCCATTGCTGGGTGGGATGAATATTTTTGGGGATAAAATGAAGTTTGCAGTGCACAGTAGTTGACATATATTGTAACTTGTATTGAGTTGTATTGCATGCTAAGAGATACCATGTAATGATATGACTTGAATTACATGCTAAGATATACCACTGCTGATAATAGTAGTCCCATGAATAAAAACATTTGTTCAGCAAATGGAATACTTTTGGTGTGCTGTTCCAACATAAATGCATAGCTGAAAATAAATGGTTTTATTTTGTGAACTCAGTAGTTTTCATGTATTTTTAGTCTTGAACTTACATCTTTTCTTGAGATGCCCCAAATCAGAAAATTTGAAATAAGAAATTAAAAATAAAGTCCTTCTGTTTATTCCTGTCTAAGTCTTCATTAGTTTACACTGGAAAAAAACCTAATATAGTTCAGTTCATAGGTACAATTTTTTTTATATAGGAAGTAATGGATGTTAACTAAATTTATTGTAATAGTCATTTTTTAAATAGATTTTATTTATTTTTGCATAGAAGGCCTGGGATGTAGGCCACAGGTGTGGAGGGGTGAGAGAATTCACTAGAGAGAGTGGGGAGCAGAATAGGCAGATCAACTGAAACACATTGCTGAAGGGAGCAGTGGGCGTGTCATATGTGGGTCACCTCCCTGCTTGGGGTACAAACTCAGGCCACATTGGTGATAGTGTAATAGCACTAACTTAACTTCTGTGCCACTAGTAAGATCCATGAGATACAATTCTTAAGGTTTTTATATTTTGTACTGATTGAATGGGATTTCTGTTGTTATACAGGAATTCTTTTCAAAGAAGTCAGATTGTTCTTTATTTATGTTTGGTTCCCATAATAAGAAGCGGCCAAATAATCTAGTAATAGGTAAGTACTGCTAACCTTTTAATATTTTTGTATATAGTGTTAGCTCTGTCACTCAGATTAATTGATGGTGCTGAGGATTCAAGAATAACCAGTAAACTATGAACTGGCTTCTTTATTTTCCTTGTGAGTTTAAATTTGAAAAACATTAAAAAAATTTTTTTTTAAAGAAACACATGTCTTTTGCAGCAACTAGGATGGAGCTGGAAAAGATCATGCTTAGTGAGATAAGCCAGAAAGAGAAAGAAAAATACTGGATGGTTTCACTCATAGCAGAAGTATAATGGACCAGGCGAGAAAATAATAAGAATAATGAACAGCCATATACCAAAGACATTTTGGGGGGGGGGGAATGCACGGGATTATGGTGATGGCACACAGGTGACTCGGTGATGAGAAACCCATGGGGATTACAATTGAGATTTAAAAAAAAAAATGTACAAAATGATGTAAAAATAAACTGTTATATTATTTAAAAAACTAAAAAAAAATTTTTTAGTATCAAGGACAAATATTTATTTCCTAGTCTAAATATTTTTTTATGTGCCACCTTCTAGGTAAAGTACGTTATATAAATGTTGCCTTCTCTCAAGTTGTAGATATTTTCTAATACAAAACTTTCATTCCTAAATTAGAATTAGTTATAAACAAACAAAACAGCATATCTACCACATAAATTAGCCTTCCCTAATAAATATCCGCTTTATAAATATATTCAGAAATGAACTGTTACCTGGTTGTATTGAGACTTGCTGTGACATGTTCCCTGGATTAGGCAAGCTCTTTATCGTCTGTAGCTCTTTATGTAAATAAGGGAATTTGGCTAAATGACCTTTAAGATCCTTTCCAGAATAATTTGACTTCTGTAGAGTTGAAAATTTAAAGAAGGGACATGTTTGGGGATTAGAAGAGTGAAAAGAACTAGGATACTTTGAGCATGTAAATAAGTTAGAATATGTAATGTCCCTGGGGAAAACACTTGTTTAAAAAATAAATGCTTAAATGAACACTTCTTTCTAGGTCGTATGTATGACTACCATGTGCTGGATATGATTGAGTTAGGTATTGAGAAGTTTGTCTCTCTAAAAGACATTAAGGTAAGATATTGACTGACCCTAAAAATAAAAAGCTCTTTGTAATACTGTTCTTAAACAATAGTGACATCTTGTGGAGAAACTGTATTACACAGTTTTATAGTTGAATGAGAGGGAATTTTTGTTTTTTAGTCTAGTGTGTTCTAAAATAAAAGTACAACTTCATTTTACCTCTGAAAAGAGTATATGTGTATATTTGTAGTGTATAAAACATATGTAGAATTAGACTTCAGACTAATCACTAACTCTTGTCTAGGCCCATTGTTTAAATACTGTCTCCTTACCCTGAATTATCATAGTATCTACTTTTTTGAACCTCAGAAATATTAGAATTTTCAGAGTGAGCACTCTTTTAAACATAAGAATTCTTGGCTTATATTATTTTGATTGATACCACCAATTACTAGCTTAATCTTCTTAATGACTTGCATCTTTATGTCTATTTGAATGAATTTGTAACACAGAAAGTAGTAAGTAGTCATAGAAAAGCAAGGAAATTGTCATATTTTAGCTCCTGATTCTAAATATGACCTTTCTGCCTCAAAATTATGGATCTGGATTAATCTGTTTCATCAAATATATTTTTTTATTTATACCTCATAGCTACCCTGCATATAAGGCTAAAATCTGATGTATATGGTTAAAGATGAAGGCCCAGAGGAATTCCATTGGTGACCTAGAGTTATGCATAAGCTAGATGAAAGTGTAAATAAAATTATTTCCCTAGGACTTTGAAATAAAGTGAAATTTGTAATGGAAAATTATGTAACTATTCTCTGTTTATGGGTCTTTTGGACTTATGGTATAACTAAAAGCTTATAGTGCATATATAATCACTCCTTGTTTCAATTTTTCCTTTAAAAGAGGACATACCATTCAAGTTTCCTGTGGGATCTTACTTTCATTGGTTATACAAACTTCCTGAAGTACAAGGCAGAAGTGGAGCCTGAAATTAGGTTTAGAGACAAAACAGTTGGGTTTGTGGCCTGTCTTCGGCATAGAGATGACATCTGTAACCTGACAAGTCAATTACTTCCTTGATCCTCAGTTGCTGTCAAGTATTAGTTATAACAAAATCAATTGAGATAATATCTATGAAAATGCATGTCAGTGAAGAAAATGTGTTGGAAAGTGTTTAGCTGATGCTTTATTAAGTGGAAACTGGGGCTGTGCATTAATCTCAAGAGACTTAACAGTATTCCCATTTCACCTTCATCACTGCTGCTAATTTGATCACGAGTTAGTGGGCCTGAGCACTGGCTGATGCATAGTGCCAACCCTCCACTCATTTCACTTCCAAGGCAAAGAAATACTTTCATCACCGGGCAACCTTGAAACAGAACCATTGATGTTTGTTAGATCTCAAAACAAAAATCACAAGAGGTCTGCTGCGTCATTGTGCTGAAATTTAACCCCATGTGCCACCAGGGAGTCCCTAATATTTTCCTTTTTGCATGAAAACCTGTAAATTTAGAAGTCATATAAGGTATCAATTACTTTAAAATCAGTATATAAAAACTTGGTAATTATAGAATTATATATTTTTTTTCATATTATAGAATAGTAAATGTCCCGAGGGAACAAAACCCATGTTAATATTTGCTGGTGATGATTTTGATACAACAGAAGACTACAGAAGGTTAAAAAGTCTCCTTATTGGTAAGTATGTTAATACTTGTTATCTGCAGAGTATCTCAGGTAAACAGTCTCATAAGACTGTTAGGTGGTACTTTGCCACTTCATTGTATGCATTATATATTTTTCTATTTTTCCCTCATTATTTTCTTTATTTCCCACTAACAGCAGCAGAGAGATAAGGGTATCATATTTTTAATAGTAGCTTTTTTTTTTTAATCTTAAAACATTTTTTTTTTAAAGATTTATTTTATTAGAACTGGGGTGCAGCCCAGAGGTGCAGGGGCGGTGAGAGGAACCACCAGAGACAGATGGGAGCAGAACAGGCCGACTGATGAAGTACACTGTTGAGGGGAGCAATGGGTGGGCCAGGAGATGTCTGCTGCACCATGTGGATCATCTCTGGGGTGAGGATCGAACTCATTTTGAAGTGTCTTTAGCTTCTTAGTGTTGTGCTTTAACCTACTGCACCACCAGGGAAGACCCTAAATCTTAAAACATTTTATAGAAGTAACTTTGGCATATAACATATCGGTTATATTATAGCCAACTTGATGCTTGCTCACCACCAAAAGCCTAAATTGACCACTTGGACCTCACTTACATCCCAAGCCCTCTTCCCAATACCATTTTCTACTGGCAGCCACTGTTTTGTTCTTACAGTCTAAGAGTATGTTTTTGTTTTTCTGTTCATTTCTTTTGTTTATCTTCTACAATTGAGTGAAATCATGTATTAGGGCTCTTCCAAGTGGTGCAGGGGATAGTCTCAGCACTATCAATCTATATCATCACCAGTCACTGCTGCCTTAAGTTTCATTCTTGGCCAGGGAGCTGACCCACATGGTGCAGCAGACCTCTCCTGTCTCATCCGCTGTTCCTTCAGCAGTGTATTTCAGTAGATGTGCCTATTTTGCTTCCCACTCTGTCTCTGATGAATCCTCTCACCCCCCACCTTTGTACTGCACCCCAATTCTTATATGTATAAAAATAACAAATCTTTTAAAAAAAGAAATCACATATTTGTTTTTGTCCATCTCACTTATTTTACTTAGTGTGTTGTTTTCTAGTATTGTAATGGCAGGATTTCATCTTTTGTTTTTTGTTTTAGTTTGAGGTATAGTGTTCCATTGTATGTATATATCATCTTTATCCAGTCATCCATCAGTGGGCACTTGGTTGTTTCCAACTCTTGTCTATTGTGACTAATGCTGCCATAAATACCATATATGTCATTTAAGTTGATATCAACTTTTTGTGTGACATTTTATACCTTTTAAAATGCTTGTACAGTCTTCTGACATTAAATTTATATCTCAAGAGTATGAAAACATTAGGAAAAGATTTATGTACTTATACTGCCCCAGTATCACTGTAAACCTACTCTAATAAAATTTTTCTCTGCCCCTTTCTGCCCGACTCTTGCGCCTTATGTATATTGTACTTGTCTATTTTGGGGAGGCTTACTGACTTTCTTCTGCTGCAATTTAGTTGCAGAGTCGATGATCCCTGTGTTTTCATTACCGTCATGTTGGACTCCCATTAACTTCCTTCCTTTTTTTCTTTTTTTAAAAAGATTCATTTATACATACTGAACTGGGTTACAGGCCAGAGGCGTGGATTGGGGTGAGAGGATTCACCAGAGACAGATTAGGGAGCAGAATAGGCAGATGTACTGAAGTACAATGCTAAGGGGAGCAGTGTGTAGGCCAGGAGAGGTCTGCCACACCATGTGGGTCACCTCCCTGGCAGGTGGCTGTGGATAGCTTCATAGTGCTGAAACTTAACCCCTTGTACCACCTGGGAGGCCCAGTTTTACTGATTTCATTCGTTCTCTGTTTCTTCCATTGATTCTCATGATAACCTTGTAAGCTTGTTTTATGGACTTGTTTTTAGTGAATTATGCTAGTTATTAATGATACCACCTCTTCCTTTGAGTTCACGTTTCTGCTTAAAATACATGATACAGTTTACTGTTTTCAGAGATTGACATTAAATTTAATGATCTTAAAGTACTCTTTGGAAGTTGGCATTATTGTTCTCTGTGGCTTTTTAAAGGTTACTATTACTTAATAGTTTGTTATCACATCTTTTCTAGCTCTTGAGTAAGATTGAGTTTGTCCCTAGACTTCTGAACTCCTTTGATACTCAATAGCATTTTCTCAAATTTAGGTAATTTATTCCACTTGAGCTTTTGCACTTGCACCTTTTTTTTTTGTAAGATTTATTTATTTATTCATACAGAACTGGGGTACAGGCCAGAGATGCAGAAGAAGACAGGATTCACCAGAGACAGAGTGGGGAGCAGAACAGGCAGATCGAGGAAGTACACTGCTGAGGGGAACAGCGGGCGGGTCAGGAGAGGTCTGCCGCGCCATGTGGATCTCCTCGGGGCAGGCGGGGATCAAAATCATGCGAAAGTGGCTTAAGCTTCTTAGTGCTGTGCTTTAACCCACTGCGCCACCAGGGAGGGCCTGCACTTGCACCATTTTTATAAGTTATGCCTTATGCTTTTTATCTGCTCTTCTTTTGACTCTATATTTTTTGTCCTAGATGTATTTTTTCCGAACCACTTTTTTTTTATTGAGGTCACATAGGTTACAACATGGCATATGACTCAGAAGGGTGCCACCCCTTCAGACTATGTTACTGCACTACACCCACCACCAAAGCACCCATAATCCTCATCATCATCCTTTGCCCTAGTGACTTTGAAAACTTGGTGGTATATATATAGTAAATTAATTGTATATATGCTCTTTATAAATCTGAACTGAGCAAAAAAGGTTTATAAGCAGATACTTTGCTTTCATTTTTCCTTACTGATTTAATTTATCATCTTACTGTTGAGATTACATTATTTACAGTGTCTCTTTTCTCTTAGTAAATGGCCATTTAAAAAAAAAAAGTACCAGAAGTAGCTGTTTAATTCTTATTAATGGTCTTGAGTTTGGTGACATTCCATTCCATGGATAGAAAAATGGTGGCTCAGAGGTTAAAAGCTGTAAAGTCAGTAAACTAGAATCTAAAACCTGAGCTTTCTAAAGCCACTGTTGTCTGTCTTGACTGTGGTGAACAGTTCTTTTGCAAAGTCTTTGCTGTAGGTCTAATTTGTATTTTTTTGTTTGTTTAGAAAAAGAAAAGTTTATTGAAGAGAAAAGAAACAAACAAAATGGAACACCCAAGGTGGTGGAACAGGCAAGGGAGGGGCAAGGAAACCTTCTAGTTTGTATTGTTATGAATTAAAAAAAAAAGTCACATCTGAAAGACAATGACCAATATTTCCTTTCAATATTACACACCCCAAAATATCAAGGGTGTTTTTCCAGCCAAGATTTCTATTACTTGTATTCCATTCACCCAGATTTCCTAACTTCTCACCCCTGTTTTTTTCTGTATGATCATTGTCAATGAGAGAGATTCTTATGATTTGTTACCTCAGAGACAGCTTTTGTTTTTGTTTTTTTTTAAGCAGTTTCTATTAAAACTTCTTATGTCGTGTTTCCAGTAGATGGCAGGAATGACCACATAAGGCCTAACTTAATTTTAACTACCTATGTTACTTTTTCTCTGTTGCTTTTATCTAAATCAGTGATCATATTTATATAAGTAGGCATTGTTTTAATCTTTTCTACTTCTCAATTCTTTTCCTATTTGAGCCGTGTAGAATGAAAGTAACTACCATAGGTTAAGTCATGTAGCTAAATTTAATCCTTTCTACAGCTCTACAAAAGTAATTATACTAGACTGCTCAGACTGCCATAACAAAATATGTAAACAGAAATTTATTTTCTCACCAATTTAGTGACTAGAAGGCCTCAAAATCTTCTGTTCACTATATCCATCATTCCTATTCATTTTAGAGTCAGTCTTTTTAGTAGTGTTCTGAGTATTGACACATTTTAATCCATCATCCCATTGATATTGCAAGCTCTTCTTATATTTTCATTGCCCTAATCCTGGAATCAGGGCCCTTAGGATCTTTTTTTTTTTAAGCGAGGAATTGTTTTGGAATTCACATTCTGGGTGCTGGGGATTTATTTATTTATTTGTTTGTTTGTTTACCTGTCTATTTATTTATTTATAAATAAAGATTAATTTGTTTATGCATACAGAATTGGGGTACAGGCCAGAGGTGCAGGAGCGGGGGATTCACCAGAGACAGAGCTAAAGTAGCTTTAACTTAGTTCTGCGCTTTATTTAACCACTGTGCCACAAGGGAGGGCCGGGATTTTTTTTTTTTTTTTAAGGCCGTTTCAGTCAACAAAACTAGGAAGTTTGTTTAAGATAAGATATATGCTTTGTTTTTACACTGAATGTTTTATTAAGGATTTATTTATTTGTGCATACAAGACCTGGGGTACAGGCCAGAGGTGTGGGGGTGAAAGGATTCACCAGAGACAGCGTGGGGGACAGAAAAGGCAAATCTACTGAAATAACATTGCTGAGGGGAGCAGTGGGCGATAAAGGAGAAGTCTGCTGCACCATGTGGGTCACTTCCCTGGTTGGGGATCAAATTTGTGCTTCAGTGGCTGTAGATAGCTTTTCCTTACGTCACAGAGTGGCGTAAGGAAAATTGAATTTTAAATTCAGTTTTAAGACGATAGAAACTTCACTTTATTGACCTTGCATTTATACCTTTTTCTTCCATGATAAACTCTAGATTCTCTGATTACCAGAGTAATTATGCATTTATTTTATACTGCATTATACATACAAGTATCTCAATAAAATACCGGTATTACTGTTAATGTGACATTAATAGTGCAATTAAACTTGCACTTTTTTTGTTTTATATTTTTGCCTATAAGATATGTACTGTTAGGTGTATGTAATTGAGTTGCTTTGTTTCAGTCACTTAAATAGTTTTCTCCCTGTCTAATTAGGTTTCCAGCTTATTTCACAGTTTCATTTTATTTTCAACTCTGAGGGATTACTTTTTTTTTTAAAGATTTATTTC